ATAGGGTACACCACCGTCGCTCGCACGGGAGGGGCGAGAGGCGGCCTGCGGCGGCGGCCTGGCCGGGCACAGCGCCGCCGGAGCCAGAGCCGGGGCGGCAGCAGGAGGAGGGGAGGTGGCGGGCCGCGCGGCCAGCCCTCCCCCCGCCTCCAGCAGAGCGCCTCCAGCGACTCCTCCGGCCTCTCGCCCCCCCGCCCGCCCTCGCCTCCTCCGTCAGAACTCCTGCGTGGCTGTGAGCGGCCGCGACAGCGAGTCCTCGTCCGCCGCCTCGAGCGCGCGCGCCTTGGCGGCCGCCTCGCCCGCGCCGCCGCCGAGCGGCGACGCGCCCGTGATCGAGAACTGGGAGGCGGGGAGGCTTGACGCGGCCGGCGACATCGCGACGGTGTCGGCGGAGGAGGCCATGCAGTGGAAGGAGCCGAAGAAGCCGCTGTTCCAGCCGCCGCCCACCGAGCCGCCGAGGGAGGTGGGCGGCCGCTCCGCCTCGCCGCCGGTCGGCACGTGCGGCTGGGCGATGAAGGTTGCGTACAGCGACGGGGCGATCGAGGCGAGCGGGGTCGGGTCCTCCGCGTAGCAGACGTACAGCGCGGCGACGCCGGCCTGCACCGTCGTGCCAACCACCGAGAGCGCGGCGTACCCGATGGCGAAACCCGCGAGCTGCGCCTGCCACCAGAGCGCCGAGCGAGATCTGGGGAGAGATGGGGAGATAGGGAGAGATAGGGAGAGGTGGGTAGATAGGGAGAGATGGGGAGAGATGAGCTGCGCCTGCCACCAAAGCGCCGAGCGAGATCTGGGGAGAGATGGGTAGATGGGGAGAGAGGGGGAGAGAGGGGGAGAGAGGGGGAGAGATGAGCTGCGCCTGCCACCAGAGCGCCGAGCGAGATCTGGGGAGAGATGGGGAGATAGGGAGAGATAGGGAGAGATGGGGAGAGATGGGGAGAGAGGGGGAGAGAGGAGCTGCGCCTGCCACCAGAGCGCCGAGCGAGATCTGGGGAGAGATGGGTAGATAGGGAGAGATGGGGAGAGATGGGGAGAGATGGGGAGAGATGAGCTGCGCCTGCCACCAGAGCGCCGAGCGAGATCTGGGGAGAGATGGGTAGATAGGGAGAGATGGGGAGAGATGGGGAGAGATGGGGAGAGATGAGCTGCGCCTGCCACCAGAGCGCCGAGCGAGATCTGGGGAGAGATGGGTAGATAGGGAGAGAGGGGGAGAGATGGGGAGAGATGGGGAGAGATGGGGAGAGATGAGCTGCGCCTGCCACCAGAGCGCCGAGCGAGATCTGGGGAGAGATGGGTAGATAGGGAGAGATGGGGAGAGATGGGGATAGATGGGGAGAGAGGGGGAGAGAGGAGCTGCGCCTGCCACCAGAGCGCCGAGCGAGAT